CAGTTTTTGCTGGGCACCCTTCTACCTCCTGTAACACTTGACTTAATTAATTTTAGCAAAAACTGCGATTTCTCCAATTTGTTCGCAATTTCTGGAGAAATCGCAGAAATTGCAGAAATCGCAGTTTTTGCTGGACACCCTTCTACCTCCTGTAACACTTGACTTAATTCATCATAAGCTAGAGGCCCGATTTTATTGCCCACACCAGGAGACCCCTTTTCCATGGTAACGAACGAGCTTTGCGGTGAGGCGCTCAATGCGGTAATTAATTTGCACACATTCTTTTGCACACGTGAAGTGTGTACATTGATCCGGATCTGTCAATTCCTTGTTGATGCTGTGGAGAAGAAGAAGCAGACTTATTTAGTTCATTTGTTGCAGAGATAAATTGGATCAGGCTTTTTTTGGTAAAAACTTGAATTGGCGCCAGATATGAATTCTCATAAGCTTACTCTCAGGAAGATCGAGTCACTTGCGGAGGCAAGCTTTCACGATGCTCTTCTTGCGTTGATCCTCGTAACTACCATGTAATTTCGCGTTTTCTATCGATCGTTAGATCTAGAAAAGACATGGTACGCGTTAAATGATCGTTTGTGTGGCAAGCAGCCGAGAAAATTCAGTGAGGGTTCTTTCTTTCAGCTATTTCCCGATGAATTTCTTCATGTTAGTTTTGCTGATCTGCTCGATGAAAATGGCTGCCCTGTCTCAAGCCAGTGGTTCAATAAGCTAAATGGGCAAAAATTCTCTGATCAAGTTTACGTTGGAAGTACATTTGCAGTAGTTGCCTGTACTTTAGTCCTTAGGAACCCGTCAGAATCGGAATTTCTTCGATCAGAAGCCTTCTTGTCGCTGAAGAGGACCATCAACTAGCATGTTTTGAAATAATCGGACATCGATCACAGACCCGCTCAGGATTTATGCTGCGTTAGTACAGACAGAGATTCTAAAAGTGATGAAGGATAAACTCCCCAAGAATCGAAAGGGAAGAAATTATCTTTAAAAAGCAGCTTTCTGGGAAGCCCGCCAAAATGCTCCACTCTACGAAGACAAAGCCCGCCAAGATTTGAAATCTCCCTTGACCATGTTGACACGTCTTTTTCAAGTTCCTGTGACGACTCCTCGCAATCTGTTGGATCTGTATCATCAATTTCTTCATTAGTAAATGGGAAGTTTTGCTTTGCGTATAAGAAGAGAAAGATCAGACACTAGGTGGAAGCTGTAATGGGAAGCGTCGAAGTTTAAGAGCAGGGAGAAACCTAGGGGGACGTTGTTGCACAAAGCTGCCTGTTTCAGCGTAAGAAAACTTTCAATGGGATCAATGAGCAGGAGCTCATTTGGCATGTGTTTAGTGAAGTAGCGAACGAGCTGGGAGTTCGAAAGGCATTCTGTGAGCTCATACCTGAGGAGCTGTGGAACCAGCGTGTACAAATGATATCTGTGCCAGATTGGATGTTGCTTGTTTGTAAGCTGGAATCAACAATATCTGACGATTCCTGGCAGATGATCTTAAATCAGACTCGACTTGGAAAAAGCGGGGTGAGTTAGCCACCGACTATTTTTTGTGTTGCTGTTGTTGTTGTTGTTGTTTCCTTTAAGCTTGCTAGAACTATCAAGTAATCCTCCTAACCGTAAATGAATTGTGGTCTACGCCATTCAAATATCTACTCCCATTCCCCCCCATTATGGACAAGATTTTCTGATGGGGAGGGGGGGAGGGTGCTTTGAAAGTCATTTGCGAGGGGATTGACTGTGACGGTACCTTTGATCTTTGGAATATTACTGAGGGGTGTATGAAAAATTGGCTATTTCTGTGGAGGGAGGCAGGGTTACTGTACATGTGTCAGTACCTAAATTGATCTTTTTTTCTTTTCTTTTAGAACTCATCAGACACTCCAATCTTGCTTTCCAAAAGCAACATAAAGGAACTTCGGTCTATGCTGTTTGATAAAGTTCGAAGCCTCTTTGACATCACTCAAATACAAGATTTCCCTGGTTATGAAGTTTCTCTTGAAAGTGCCCTAACATGGATTATCAGGGAGTTGAGATTTCATGGTGTGCAGAAAGAAATAATTGACCTAAGCCTCAAACTTGATGGTAGGCCATTTATAGGTGAGAACACAATCTTTAGTAAATACAGTGTACCTTATTTCCAGATTCCTTTATTGTATTTTGCAACAACTGTGTTGCACTTAAGAAAGAAAAACATAGAAACAAAATCAACAGTGAAACTGGGTTTAA